ACATATACATCTCATCCTCTGCCAATGTCCCTTCCCATACTTTTCTTATAAGAAAATGATGTAAAGGAAGAGTGGGCGTAAATTAGACTTTGTATTTATTTTTCTCTATGGTGTCAAACCTAACCTCTTGATTTTGCTTAAATTACTAAGTGAAATACTAATACAATACAGCCATTACTAGATACATCTCTATTTTAAGGAGGTCAGACTTATAAATGATGCTTTACTTACCACGGATTTTCTTTTTATAAAATGATATTTGGTACTCCAAAATCCCGTAATTTATTAAATGTATTCTACTTAGGAGATTCAGGATTAAACCTGAGCACGAAGTCGACAACGTCCGAAGACGCGCCCCTGGACCTCGGCCTCAAGTCCGCCGCTGACGAGGACGCGCCTCTCAACTTGTCGCTGAAGCCTGTACCTCGTGAGTGAATCTTACTAATATTATGAATGCGAAAGTTTAGATGGATGGATGTTTGTTAAAGTTTGTAGCCTAAACTGCTGAACGGATCTTGATAAAATTTGGTAAAGATAAAGAGGATAGTCTGGAACTGGAAGAACACAGGCTACATACTTTTGTTTTTTTTTTTTATATTTGCACACGGACGGAGTTGAGGATGAAAGCTAGTATCTAAACAAAATGAATGGTTACATGTATCCTATAGGAAATACTTAATTTTAGTACTGCAGTAATATATGTTGAAAAATTAATTATTCCCATATCTTTTCCAGCAAGCACGCAGGCTTCGGATGCGTTATCGCGCCTAACCTCTCTGAGTAGCTCTCTAAACGCTTCAAATGACAGGATATGTAAGTAAAGACCTTTATTAATTTCAATATATATAATTTATGGTGTATTGTTCCAGTTTGTGTATTTAAAGAGAATCTTGTATGATTAATTTGTTATCTCATTTAAATTTCTGTTAATTTTTAAATTAATGAAGTAATATTAAATATTTACAGCACGACGCAAACCTGGTGCGAAACCACGTCGAGTGGCGCCCGAACTGAACTCGCACGCCGCGGACTCTCCTC